AAATTTAAATTTTCGCCAGTGCTGTGGCGCTGCAATCTTTGGCTATGTCTTGGGCTACTCAAATATTTTACGTTTTTGATGCTAAATTAACTTCTGAAGTATAATTTTTTATTGTTTTTATATTTTTCAATATATTTATTTTGTTTGTACAAAATAAAAAAATAATTTTTTACGATACAATAGTCTTTGTTAGGCTTAACATCGACGAAAATTCAATGCAAAGCGACACGTAACGGAGAAAAATTTTGACATCGGATACGTTAAACTATTTTTTCGTATGTAAATCAGTTATCCGAAATATCAGTTATCTGAACAACCTCAGTCCCCAATTGATTCAGAAAATTGATGCTCTACTGTATTTATATTAAAATATAGTACATCTTAAGTTTATGTATTTAATATGCTTGTAAAAATTATCTCATAATACTTTGTTTCTGATTGAAATATTTAGCTGCAAAACAAACAAAACTGGTTCAGATTAAGCAAAATTCAGATTAGTGAAAGTTACTGTTTTCTATTATACTATTATTTGAATTTTGTTCAATTTTTCAAATGCTTCTGATAAGAAGTATCAATTTGATTAGTAAAAGATAACAGTATGGAAAGAAAAAAATTCAGTTATTAAAACCTAAGAATTATAATATTCCTTACATCATTTTAATATACATTGGTTATGAACATAATCCATTCCAAGACTGTGTTTGCTATCCAAATTGTTCGTTAACTGATTATCAATTTATCATAGATTTTTATGGGAATTTGATTAATCCATTCTGGAGACCCCAAAAATAAAAAAACATAAATACACGTTCTTCCATTTTTATCAGTAATGTTTTTTCTGTTTGTGGGGCATTAAAGAATCTGTCCAATGTAGATTGCTTTTCTCTCTTCTTTAGGATTTTTTGGAAGTAATTAATAACATTGTCATTATAGAGGTCCCTAAACCTATTAACCTCAACATGGTTTGGATGCCATTCTAAGACCATCGTCCTGACATCCTCCCACTTCAAAAGATTTTTAATAGCAGATGTCGGCATTAATTCTCTTTTTCAGAAGAAAACATATCTTGCTGAGTTTCTTGTGTTCATCATTAAAGAGTTCTTGGCATTCTTCTGTTGTCAGATCAGTTTCAGATTCCATTATGAGCTCTTCAATGTTCTTTATTTCTCAGATAGTCTTTATGTCAGAAAAATAAGTGGCTGGAATTAACAAGGGAGAGTTTCAAAGTTCAGTGGAATACTATCCGATCAGTATATACAGTGGTATCTCAGGATACGAATGCCCCAGAATATGAAATTTTCAGGCTACGACATGAAATTCGAACATATTTTTGCTTCATGATACAAACAAAAACTCACCATATGACGTTATATTAGTTCGCAGCGCCATTTTTTATTCACTTCTGTTCATCGGTGTCAGTCCGTGTGTTTGCTTCGTTGTGGAAGGATCTCGCTCGATAAAGGAAATCTTGAGGTATTATCAGAAAGTGACTGATTTTATTGAAAAGAAACATTCCAAAAAGGTTCACACTGACCTATTGCTGCTCAGAGTAATGACATTTGCCTAAGACATTTTAGAAACATTTTAAAAAGTAGTCAAAGCCAAACCTCTTTGGATAGATATTTTACCAAGCGACCTCTATCCAGTGAAAGTGCTGGTGGAAGTGAAGGAAAGAAAGCAAAAAGCAGTGAATAAAAATTAAAAAAGAAAAAAAAAATTAAAAAATTAGTGTTGTTTTATAAGTTATTTTTAAGTTATTGTTACATTATGTTATGTAAGTTTTTAGTATCATTTTCCTTCTCCCTCTCTTCTGCCACCAGTTTACATCTTCACCGTCGTCTATCTTCAAAGGTAAAGTGCAAATAAAACTACATTTTTTTTATCAATTATTATTCTATTATGGTTATTTATATATTTAGAACTACAAAACATATTTTTCAGTGTTTTCCTTACTATATATATAGTAAGGAAAACACTAAAAAATGTGTTTTGTAGTTCTAAATATGTTTTGTAGTGTTGTAAAATGTGTTTTGTAGTGTGTATATAATATATATATATATATATATATATTTTTTTTTTTTAATGTACTACTTAGCTTTAATTTGAGTGTGTTTTAGTGTTGAAACGAATTATTTGATTTTACATGTAATCGTATGGGTAAAAATGATTCACCTTACGACATTTTCATAATACGATCTCAGTTTCGGAACGAATTAATTTCATATCCTGAGGTACCACTGTACTGGGTTGAGCACTGATGTCAACATCTCCTGTGCTTCGAAAAGTTTCACATTGTTGCCTGAAGACAAGAGAAGACCAATCGGTATTCATTATTTTACGTCGCTTCTTCTTGTCTTTGTTCTGGGGGGTGTTTGTTGACCAATTTGTTCGTAGTCTGAACTGTTTGTTAACCAATCACCCATTGTAGTGTACTGTAATATATTATTTCAATCTGAATTTGAATGGAAATGTTTGGTAAGTTAACTATTTATAAATACATAACTTACCAAACTTACATAACGATGGACTTTATTAAGCATATTAATTATTAATAACAATAATATTGTATATATTATCATCATTTATTATTTATAACAATGAAATTTTTTTAATGAAAGTGTATAGTTTATAAAAGTACCTGATAAAGATGCCAAAGATGAAGCTGTAGAAAGATTATTATTTGATGAAGAGGATGCAACATCTCCATCTTCTCTAGTTAAATCAATAACACTGATTGAAGAAGCTACTGGCTTTATTGTGGTACTAGATACAGTAGAAGGAACATTTTTTGAAGGTCCCATAGCAGTATTTGCAATTAACTGCATTGGTACAGGAGGATTTCCAATCTTTTCCTGGAATAAAAATTATTTTCATTTGTATTATTCTATTACTTACAGTTAATAATTTTGTTCTTTTATTTTTAAAAAACCTGATTAGTAACAGCTGAAGTTCCCTGTGAGGATGATGAATCAGATCTAGAGGAAATTTTTGAGACTGATTTTGAAGGACTTATACATTTTGGAAGACGTTCAATTGGACGCTAAATTTAATAATTTAATTAAATTAATTAATAAATCAGAAAACTCAATCATCAAATAATAATTATAAAGTATTTATTTTTAACAATTACATTCAAACCAAAGAATTTTATAAAGAAAACACAACATTAAATATAAATATCATTAAATATTTAAATATTACTAGTAGAAAAATTTGAACTCTACACAATTAGATTTAAATAGTATTGAAAACGTGAAAGAGTAACAAAAATTAGTACTTTATTTCATAGAAATTTTATTGTATTTTAATGAAATGATTGTATGTGTATTGTAAATAAAATCCAAAATTTCCTTTAAACTGAATTCAAAATTTTATATATATAACCTTCATTAGTCTCAAAACTCATTATCATGAAATGTTTAAATAAAAGTAGACTTCTTACAGAAAAATGAAATGAGCATGAAGTATATTACCCAGAAAAACAATTCTCATAAAATAAAATATTTTATGTTCTATAAAGTATTAAAGTTTAACCTTAAAAATGCCTTGAAACAGTTAAGTTTAAGTGCTATCTACCTATTTTTGAAAATTATTATTATTATTATGTTAGGTTTAGTAAGTTATACTCAGTTGACACTGGTTGTTGTGTTCTATGCCAGACTGGAGTCAAGGCATAGCAACCAAAACAAGACAAAAATTAAATAAATGTGGGTGTCAGTATGTGTCTGTATTCAGGAATTTTCTAACAATATGACATGTATTCAATATAATGGCCTTCTGTAGTGTGACATATGTGTTTCTATTCAATTGTAATGTTACCTGGCTTTTGTGTAGTGTGTGGGGTATGACACCTATAGAAGAAAGGACAAAGGACTTATTAAATTTACCTGAGGTAAATTTACATTAGTTCCTACTGTTCTTGTTAAAAGTTCCTACAAATTATAAACATCTGTTAGTTAAAAATTCTACATTAATTAGAAAAAAAAAATGTAAAATTTAATACCTGAGGTAATCTAACATTTATTCCAACAGTTCTTGTAGCTTTCTAAACAAGATAAAATATCATTAAGAACAATAAATGTGTAAAATGTTATTAATTTTTTATTAACTAAGGTATTTTCATGTTGATAAAAAATATAAATTTATATTAGTTTCTATTGCATAATATTAAATCTATGAAATATATCAATAGCTAGAGAAATTTTAAATATTAAGATGATATATTATATGGCATTATATATTATATTTATATGACTCAAGAGAATGGACCAAAAAGACTTACAATCAAAATATAAGTCATGCATCACAAAATGGCAGAATTAATAGTGTTTTTTCTTGATAAATTTATAATAATTAATTAAATGATAAAAAATTCACAAAAGCTGTATCTTTTTATTTTATACATATATTTTTTAATAAAAAATAGTAGTACCTTTTTTATTGCACCTTTTTTTTTTAAGTTGCATTGATCAATGATTAAGCAGACAATTTTCATCCTTATAAACATCAAAAAATTCCGAAATGATTTTTGCTTATTCAAAATTAAAATGCCAGTTATAATGAGTGGTTCACTGTCATCTATAAATTTTGTTTAATTTCATAATATCTATCAAGAACCATTAGGAATTCTATGTTGGAATTTACATTGGAATAGTTCCAGAAATAACTATTTTGTTAAAGAAAACATTATTTACAGACTCTCTTATTGTTACAGGATACTATAAATATGTAAACCCATAATGTGATCCCTTTATGCTCATTACCTAATAAACTATTATTAATTCTTCTTTCTGAGAAATGACATACTTCATGAAGTCAGTTTTAAATCATTTGATTCTATGAATGAGAAGAAAAGCGTAAGAGAATAGTACAAATGTAAGACAATAGTACATACAGAGAGATGGCATGTCAGGAGGGGAATATCTTAAATGGACTCTTCTCAGAGATATGTAGTGGTTGCCAGATCTCACCAATGACATTGTCAGTGTTCAAATTCATTCTGTTATCTGTATTCTTGCAATCACTACTGCAGCTCTGAGAACAGTTCATTTAAGATACCCCCACCCATCCTGTCTTTCTACATTACACTATAACATCCATCTATAGTTTAGATGATAGTCATACAGTGATTGTCACACCACCTTTTAACATTCTAATAAGTTTTATTTCTTTTTAGAACATAAAGTTCCTTTTTATCACTTTTTTTATATTTTACAGTTTTATTATTTTATTATACTCTCTCCTTTTATAATTTTCAGGTATCCATTTTATTAATAGTTTTATTTAAAACTCTTTATACTTTACTTAATTTACAATTTATTTAGGTATTCTATTGTACATTAAAATCCAGTTGCCACTATTATAGCCATAACACTAATTTCTGTGTGAGATCTGAATGGTCAGGGAAGGATCATTTTAATTAAAATAACAAAAAATAATATTTTCAACTTCAACAAGATTTTATCTAAAAACAGAGGAAACATCAGATTTTTGAAAGGAAGTTGATTTCCTTTCCCAGGCTAACTCAAGATGAGTTGAGTTTTTGCACACGTTATGGAAGACCAAATAAAAGAGTCGTTTTCCCGCCTTTCGAGGCAGTCCGTTGAAGAAAGGAATTGTCACACGAAGAGAAGTCTGACATACGATAAAGTCAGTCCATCAAGAAAAGGATTTGCCATATGTAAGAATCTGAAATATGTTAAGAGGCAGTCCGTTAAGAAGAGGTATTGCCATACAAAGAGAATACAATACAAGTGATCATCATACGAGACCGACAAGACCATACTGGACCAATTAATTGAAGTATAAGTATATGACAAGATTGTCAAAGGAGAACCTCCATTCGAATAGAAGAAGAGAAATAGTTAAAGAAGGCAGAAGATCCTCATACAGATACAGATACGAAAAATACGGTGAAGGTAATATAAGCTCTGAATAGATCAATGTAAACTCTCTCCCGCGTTAGGTAGAAATAAGATAGTTTAAGTTAGATTTAGATATAGGTTAGATTCATTGTTGTATATTTTTATTATTTGATTTATTAAATATTTTGATTTGTTTATAAAATGGCTTGGTTCTTATTAGACATTCAATTTCATTCAAGTTCCTCTGAATCCCAAGTTTAAGGATAACGTTTGTTAATCTGCGTGTAAAATAAGTGATTAACTGATGTCAAGGAATCCTGACGTAGATCTAGACTTCACAGTCCAGATCCCTTTAAACATTTAATAGCCCTTCTAGAAAAAGATTAGAGATCGAGTCTCGCGATTCTGAGTCGTGTAAGTGGTACTCTTGGTTAGTATCCTCGGCTAATCTCACATCTGCCATCCAGGTAATATTGTTTGTTATAATTTTATGTAAATTTTTTATTATAAGTTAAGCTTTTATAATCAGACTAATGTAAAATAAAGAGGACATATTGTCTGAAATGATATCCTCCAGAATTAATAAAGCTTATTTATCTACCTTCATTATGTGTTTCTTGTTTGATTCATTCTCTCAAGCAATTTTATGCTTACTTCTTTACAATTACAACAAGAACAGGAGGAAATCAAGTACAAAAATCAATATATTTATCAAAACATGTTGATAAATATATTGATTTTTGTACTTGATGATAAATGTGAAATATATAAATAGTGCTCCACTATATTATATTGTAGTATTTACATATATAAATATTATGATTATACTTAATCAAGTTATAATGATAATGATGATATAGCAAATTACAAATGCATTAATGACACTACTGCAAAATGCAAATCATTTAGCAGATAATTGGACTATTGTTTTGAATATATTTACTTTGTATGTATATGCTCTAATATCAGTGATGCTTCTGCATTTTATTACTGCACAGTGATAAAGATCAATAATATAATCGAAACTGTTTACTGTCTTTATAATTTCAGTTTCTTAATTGAGTTATTTTAATTGTTTATTACACTATCAAATAAATACTTGTATTAATTATTTTAAGATTAAACAGTTAAAAAAAAAAATGGAAATAGGTTTAACATTTTTGTTATAACTTTTGACTAATAGTTAATGATATAAAGTTATTTGGTCTACCAAATGATTTGATATGAAAGTAGATGTTAAACACCATCTTGTATTAATATCAGTAATTAAACAATTTCATTATTGAACTTAATTCTAAAATTATTTAATTATTTCAGACAAATCATTATCTGACTGAACATAATTTAGATATATCATTGATCTTATGGATAGAACCATTGTTGATGATAGACAAAAAAAAGTTTGCAGTAACAAATAAAAAAAAATACAATTTGACACAAAACACAAGCAAGACTATCCAAAATAGAGCAGAAATCCTACTGTGGCACCATATAGATTAACTTATCAGATTTAAATATATTCTTACAAATTTCATAACTTAATTTGCAAAAGCAATACAAATGATTATGTGTAAGTTTTTATCAAAGCAATATTAACAATTAACCTATCTGATGTTAAACATTTTCTCTGTTGCATGTCGCTCCACGTTGAATTTTTTCAACGTTAAGCCTAACACAATCCCATGTTTCAGAAAAATAATAATTGTGGCTATTGTATCATTACTTTATATTTTACAAATAAAATTTGATTTTTATATTATCCCAAATTTTACTGTCAAAAGGCAAGATAATAATTAACAAAACAAAATAATTTGGTCTAACGATAAATAGTTAGGTTGTCATCTTGTACAAAAAATTTTATTTCAGAAGTTAGTTTTAGTGTGAAAAATCTCAAAGTAAGGAACAATGCATAGTGGAACATTGTACACACTGATAGCATGATTCTACTTGCTTTTTGTTTGCCAAACAGACTTTTTCAAACTCTTGTTGGATGTTTCTTTTTTTCTGTTAGTGATATAAAACTTGGAAAATGTCGTTCAGATAAATGTAACAGATACTAAATTGCGATACTACTATTATTTCCCTGAGTACTACCACATCATCAGCCTCTGTAGCCACTCGTAGATGGTATTTCGTGATCAATATCATCACTTACATTTTCATTTTGTATGTACTCATCGTTGCTAACTGAAAATTCAGACTCATCGGATCCTAAAGTAAATAAATATTCAATCAATTCTGACTTATTCAGAGCACTGTTTCTACTAGTCGTTGCCATGTAAAACCAGAGATGAACTAGCAGTCTACTTTCCTTTGTGATTTCTTGTAAACAACTATTCCTAGAATTTTAATATCCTGCAGTGTGAAAACTAGATAACATAATGGTTCTTTTGATATGAATCATTAATTTTGGAACTCTGTACAAGTAGCGACATTTGATGTTTAGAAAATGTCCTGATGCAGAAACAAATATGTTTGGGGTCACCCACACAGGCCAAATGAGGGTCAACACAATATTTGGGAACAATGCAGGTTAAAGAGTTAAATAAAAATGAAAAAATTTTTGTATAAAATTTGATTTTTATATTATCCCAAATTTTACTGTCAAAAGGCGAGATAATAATTAACAAAACAAAATAATTTGGTCTAATGATAAATTGTTAAGTTGTCATCTTGTACAAAAAATTTTATTTCAGAAGTTAGTTTTAGTGTGAAAAATCTCAAAGTAAGGAACAATGCATAGTGGAACATTGTACACACTGATAGCATGATTCTACTTGCTTTTTGTTTGCCAAACAGACTTTTTCAAACTCTTGTTGGATGTTTCTTTTTTTCTGTTAGTGGTATAAAACTTGGAAAATGTCGTTCAGATAAATGTAACAGATACTAAATTGCGATACTACTATTATTTCCCTGAGTACTACCACATCATCAGCCTCTGTAGCCACTCGTAGATGGTATTTCGTGATCAATATCATCACTTACATTTTCATTTTGTATGTACTCATCGTTGCTAACTGAAAATTCAGACTCATCGGATCCTAAAGTAAATAAATATTCAATCAATTCTGACTTATTCAGAGCACTGTTTCTACTAGTCGTTGCCATGTAAAACCAGAGATGAACTAGCAGTCTACTTTCCTTTGTGATTTCTTGTAAACAACTATTCCTAGAATTTTAATATCCTGCAGTGTGAAAACTAGATAACATAATGGTTCTTTTGATATGAATCATTAATTTTGGAACTCTGTACAAGTAGCGACATTTGATGTTTAGAAAATGTCCTGATGCAGAAACAAATATGTTTGGGGTCACCCACACAGGCCAAATGAGGGTCAACACAATATTTGGGAACAATGCAGGTTAAAGAGTTAAATAAAAATGAAAAAATTTTTGTATAAAATTTGATTTTTATATTATCCCAAATTTTACTGTCAAAAGGCGAGATAATAATTAACAAAACAAAATAATTTGGTCTAATGATAAATTGTTAAGTTGTCATCTTGTACTAAATTTAATAATTACTTTAATTTTAAAATTACATAATATATAGAATTTAGTACAAAATAATAGCCTAACAACCTATCTTTATGCCATATTTAAAAATCCACAAAACAAAAAAATTTTTTTTAAAGACAATACATTAAAAATGCATTACATCTCATCCTTTACTATATTACTGTTTCATTAAAAACAGTCTAGCATATTTATAGTATGCCTGAAAATCCAGCATTTAAATATAATCATCATGAAATCAGTTCATTAATATGTTTCATAACAAAATCTTTAATTTTTAAAAATTATTATATTTGTCATTAATTGATGTACCTTAAAAGGAATTCCAGGTCCTCTGTTTCCTAAGCTTTGTAATTTCTTTTGTTCCACTTGCAATTCAAGTAACTGTAACAAATAAAAAATACACTATTTATAAAATTATATTACATTATAAAATATAATACAATTAAATTAGGAAACTGATCTTTATATATTTTTATAATTGTACATAAATTATAAAACTATTAGAGAATAAATTCACGATTATGAATAATTTTATAATCATGATTATGTTTATTAAATCTCNGACTTATATAATTACATACATTTATAACATCCTCTTTGGAAAAGAATAATAGTATAGAAAACATAAGCATAATAATAGTACAGAAAGTATAACATAAAAAGTATTAAAAAAAACTTGAAATTTAATTTTTTTTTAATTCTTAAACACTATGTAGTATTTGTAAATTCAAACACTTAGCGTTCTATCATCTTTATTTAAAAACTCACGCCAATGTTTGTATAACTTATGGATACAAATTCACTGAGTTGAGCATTAATAAAGTTCCTTTAGTGTTAATACTAAAGGAACTTTATTAATGCTCAACTCAGTGAATTTGTATCCATAAGTCATCTTTATTTAGTTCAGTTGAACTAAATAAAGATGATAGAACGCCAAGTGTTTGAATTTATTACACTACATAGTGTTTAAGAATCAAAAAAAAGATTCACAACACAGTTTCAGATTATCAAAAATGAAATTTAATAAAAAGATTTAAACCATAAAATTTTAAAATGATTATGCATAAACTAGTAGGAACATAAGACCTTTCCAATATTAAATACAGGTGTCATTCTTTCTTGTGTATCTTTACAATGTCAAACAACCACATATTACATTCCTGGATACAATTACTGTCTTAAGAAGTTTACAATGCAAATTTATCAGGAAGTAGTTTATTCTTTGATATATTTTTAACTTTGTTCATTTAAAACACTTTGCAATTTTTAACAAGAAGCTGAGAGCTTACATTTTTCATTTATATGAAGTATATCAGAGGAAGACAAGAACATTAGATTTACCAACATTTAAAAATACATTGTTAGAAGAGCACTTCTTTTTGCTAAAGTGCAATATTTCAGAATTTCACCATGTGTTCTTTATCCTCAGACTTTAATATGTTAAAAAAATACTCTACTTGTACAATAGAGAGTTCTAGCTTATATATTAGGGATAATTTATGTCTAAATATTAATAATAATGCACACATATTCAATGAGTGGAGTTGATGATAAATCTTTTTTTCAACAAAATAATTAGTTATGCTATACCTTATTCTTCTTAAGTGGAAGTTGTATGAAAAAATTCATCTTAGCTTGTTGATGTATTTATATTTTAATTTACATTTAGAGCAGTGATGAGCTTTTCTGAAGTGTGTCATAAGAATTTCATAGGCTTCTGCATCCCTTTTTACTTAGAGTCGTAGCTTTAAGCCTGCTGAGTACCAACATATTCCATAATCACCAGTACACTAGATTAAATAAAATAAAATATGCTAATGATTTACAAATTAGTAATACATGTATATAGTATATTCCAGGAGATGGTGCTTATGGTGCTGCAGTATCCACTTGATACTAATCAGCAAGCAAGATTGGTTTAATCACTTTAAAATAAATATAACAACACACATTGCATGATTTCAATGGCAGAAAGTAATGTTATACAAACAGAAAAATTTTAACTGATATTTATCAGAAACACATGTTGAAAAGTATAAGGTACTGTACATACAATAGAAATTATAAATATGAATTCAAAATAACTAATTTTTTCAAATTTTTGATCATTTTTAATAAAAATACGACACACAATGATTTTATACTTTTCTATTCCTCCTTTAATCATACAATCATACTGTAATTTGTATAATTTATAATCATTCTATCAATTTAAAATTATCCATTTTCCTTCTTCCATTTAACACTTAGAAAAGTAATGAAAAAAAAAATGATGTAAAACCTTTGATAATTTTAAGCTAATTGAGTAACATTCGCTGAAAAACAACAGACGCAGCTGCCATGGCATCCCTCAAATCTGTGTTGAGCAGCACCCATATTCTCAAAATCCTGGATATGCCACTGGTTTATTCTCATCTCATCACTGGTCATGCTTATTTTGCATGTTATGACAAATATTAGTTTAATTAGGTTTGCATAATTGCATGAGATAGAAGATAAGAAAATAAAATTATATTAACAAAGCCTGGGAGCTACAGGTTACTCATAAATGATTTAGATTACCTAAGATGTCAGGAACATGAACAAAAAAAAAAATTAAACTAATATACAGTGGAACCTCGGTATACGACCTTAATCCGTTCCTAGTGTTTGGACTTACACCGAATAGGACGTATACCAAATCAACCTTTTCCATAAGAAGTAATGTAAAAAATGATTAATCCGTTCTCATGTAAAAAAAAAATGGCTGGCTTTAAACACCACGCTTTCCTCGCTAGTTTCTGCTTGATTTTTCATGAGATCAGCATGTGTACATATTTTAACTTTCTCGCAAATAATTTCTTCCGATACGCTGTCACCGGCACACATTTTTCAGTTATCCAAAGCAAAAGCAATTTCTCGACATGATCTAATGTCTTCAATCTCTGTTTAGAAATTGATTTAACCCCTTTCACAACGTTAGCAACTATTTTTCACGATTGTTGATATCGTCGTTCTCGGAATACGGAATGCAACAGTTAAATCTCGAACACGCATGCCACCTTCATATTTCTCAACAATCTCTTTTTTCAGTTCCGTTGTGATTCTAGTCATTTTTTTATTTTTATGTTGCCCTTTTGCAATTCGTGATTAATAAAAAAAATAAAATGTTACTTACAAATTAAAATCTGAAGAAATTTAACAAAGTTATAAACCGTAGCATTGCGAATGTCTAGTCTGGTGTAGTACACCGATAGTGCTACAGTACTTGTTCATAGATGGTGCGTATAATTGAATTAAGTCGTATACCGAACAAAATTTGTTTCGTCCAAACAGGACGTATTCCAAATTGAACGTATTCTAAAGCAGACGTATACCGAGGTTTCACTGTATATATATATATATAAGACATTTAATAAATTTAAGACAGAATTTAGCAAAGAGACTGTGTAAATATTCACCAGAAAAATCCCATTCAATTTACATTGGTTTGGAAAGCTGCCCTATTCTTCAATTTTATTTTTTTGATTTAATACAAAGTATTGTACTAAATGAAAGTTTAGTTTGCCATCAATAAATGTTAGTTTTAAAAAACATTTTCCAAATTGAATAAAAGACAATAAATTATTATTATAAATATGATATTTTAAAATTTAATTATAACTTACAACTATTATTCAATTACAAAAACCACCAATAACATTTTTGTTTATTTATAAGTTCTTTTTTTATACTTGTAATTCATTAGTAATTAATAGTAATAGTAATTTCATAATTATTGTAAGTTATGTATTTTTTTTTAGTAAATTAAATAACACCAACTTTTCTATCAATAACGACTGAATAGTAAACTGGATTAAACAGATAACAACATATGCTAACATTCCAGCTAAAGATCTTTAAAAAATAACACCAGTGTTTTCAGTCATTTTAAATGACATCCTCAGGAGATCTATCTCACAATAAAAAAAGTTCCAGTAATGAGTTGCTTAACTTTCTGGCAACATTTATTTGGTGGTGCCATCTGGTATCATATTTTATTAAAATTTTTCTTATATTTTTAACTATTATAAAATGACAAAAATCTTAATTTTCAGGGTAGGAATAGATTTTATAAAAAATTATAAATGCTAATAACAAGTAAAATCTTCATTAAGTCTAACCCTATTGGAGATACCGTTATGTCTCCACTCCCTCGACTTTTAATCACCAAAATTTAATAGCATCAATCTCCCAATAAACAAACAACCCTGCAAAATTTCAGAAATCCTTGACATTAAGCTTCAAAGAGGGCAAACAAAATTGTGTACCTCCACACACACACAAGAATAAAAAAACCCAAATTTTTTTTGCATTTCTCAACATTTCAAGCTGTCCTGAGTCCAAAAATGTAAAAATCTTGGGTGGTCATTTTTTGACTGATCACCATACTTTCCCACTGTTATATATCAGCCTGGAAAGTAATAGAATGTTACATTTAGAATGTGTAGGATAAAACACAAGCTATAATCACCTTTAAAGACAGGGGTGTAAATAAATCAGTACACACAGTTCCAGAACACTATCCAATTTCTAACATTTGCTATATCTCATGATTCAAAACTGCACTTACTACTTTGATGTAATGTGTGTTTACATACTCCAACTATTAAAGCACTAGCTAGAATAAATCAAACAAGTATATCCAAAATGTCTGGTAAAGAATTTATTGAACATTTTTCAAGGCTGATCACGTAACAGTGCATACAAAATGACTCTGAGGATTGCCAAGTTCAACACATGGAAATTGTATGATGATAAACAGTCTGTTATAGTGGGACAATTTTGGTATTTCAGCTTGTAAGAAATGATAAGGTAGGTGTGTATTGACCAATTGGGCACCTAGCATTTACAATTACAAAAACCAATGATGAGCAGAAGATCTGAGCCATATACAGAATACTCATAGGAGCAATATCCACCATTGCTTTGACTATCTTGCCATCTGTTCTGGAAATATGGGTAGAATGTAACATGCTAAGGTAACATAATATGAAAGATTTGATGAGTTTAGAAAGGGTTAGATATTTATACATATTGGCTAGAAAAGCCAAGTATATCAATTTCAGAGACATAAAAAGTATTTCCAATTACTTGATTGCTTACTGTTTTCTCAATTAGCTGTATTTCCTTTAGAATTAGCACAACGTTGCTGTTGAGAACAAATCACACAGGAACTTTCTTTTTGATTGAAAAATAGGTATATTTTCTATAATTTAAAAGGATATGCATTTCAGGCTTAATGCCCCTCTTCAATCCTAAAAAATATAGTGACAGCTGGAATAACTAATTATTAAAACCTTTAAGTAAAGTAAAAATTATAGAAATAAAATAGTATTTCCAATGCACGTGAATTGTTGTATGAGATAATATAATCTGTGGAGCATAGTTAAAATGCTCTACACTCATTAATGCCCTTATTGTTGAGAGTTCAAAAAATCCATCAAATTTTTATAAAAATATAAATATTGACATAAATGTTTAAAGATTAAATAAATATTTTTTCTTTTATTCTAGAACTGTAAATTTAAAAACTTTCAAAACATCAAATAAGCATTACAAAAGTTGAATTTATGCTCTATAATTTTGAATTTGTAAGCTTAAATTCTATCATACAATTCCTAAATGTAACATTCTATTTTTATTTTAAAATGGCTAAAAAAATGTTAATGTTTTCCATTAAAGTTCTTTTGCTAGAAAATTAAGGTATGATAATATTTTTCTATTAATAATTTTAGCCTTACAAATGTGTATTATGAACCTTTATTATTATGTGGATATTAACAAGCAATATTTTTAAAATAAGTTTAATGAAATAAAATATGATTACACTGAATAATTTTTATTTAAAATCTATAGTCCCATCAGCTAGCTTGAAATAAAAAGTATGCATGAATACTACATACGAGTTTATTTAAGATAATTTAATGACAATTCATTTATTGATTTCTCACTTTCATTGTTTTGAAAATATTTTAACAAAGATTCATTGGTATCATTGTCTATTTCATAAATTCATATCTTTACTACAATGCTCAAATTAGTATTGATGGGACATTTATAAAACAATACCATATCCCTTGACTGTAACCAGAGAAATGCTATTTTAAGGAATTTTCTTTATAAAATGCTGACAAAAAAGAAATATCTCTGCACTTGAAATAATTTAAAAATTATATTTGATTTTAACTTATTTCATTTGTTTATTCTTGAAATAAAAACCATAAATAGATTTTTATTTATGCCATTTTATTCACAAGATAGTAAGACTATATTAAAGTGGTGACATATTGATAAAATCTTACTCAAACATAGAATATTTTAGGTTTCAAGATAGCAGGTAGCAAGTATAGTTAGAATTTTACCTGTTGTTGTAAACTCTCTGCCTTCTTTTTCCATGTATCTATAATACTCTCTAATTCTTGATTTTTCTTTTTCCATGTCGAAATACAATTTTTATTTCCTTCCATCATATATTCACAAATTTCTTGTGCTATCATATCTTCCAATGCCTGAAAAAAATTAATAAATTTATGAAAACATTTCAATACATTTAATAAATCAAATATAAAATAACTTAAAACTTCACAACTTCATAACATTTCAATAAAGTTTCTTGTAAAAACAGAAAATAAATGCTTATATGAAATGATTGAAAATAATTCCAATATTTGAAAAATTTACATACAAAATATAAATACCACAAAAGCACAAAAACATAATAATTATTAGAATTATTGATTATGATCTCAATATGCTAATTCAATTTAATCTTAAAAAATTATTTATGCTTGTTCAGACGTTTTTGAATCTATGAATAGCAATTATGAAAATATTTAATTTTTTTTTTTAAATACTAAGCTCATCCAGAAAGTAAGTATTGTTTGAGTATTAAAAAAGATTTGCAATTTGTTTTCATTTGTATTTTATTACAGAAAAAATCTACATACCTTAAACTACTTTTTGACATTCACCATGCAAATTAAGGCATGTGTCATATCTTGGCACTAATTGCAACATACTCACTTTGTAGAATTCGGCCACCTGTGACCTGAACCAGTTCTGGACATTTACCTTGATCTCATCATCATGTGCAAAGTGATGAGATCTACAGCTTATTTGAGACATTTAAGAAGTTATGGCGCACAATACAGAACAAAAAGTGTGGACTACTGACTTCTGGCATTGTGTTTGTTTATGACAACGCACGACTGCATACTGCACGTGTAACGACGACGCTGCTTGATTCATTTCACTGGAAACAATTTTCACTGGAAACACCCTCCTTATAGTCTGGACCTAGCTCCATCTGACTTCCATTTGTTTTCTCATCTCAAGAAATTTCTTGTTGGCCACCACTTTGCAAGTGATGATTAGATCAAGATAAACATCCAGAACTGGTTCAGATCACAAGCAGCCAAATTCTATAAAGTGGGCATGTCGTAATTAGTGCCAAGATATGACACATGCCTTAATTCACATGGTGAATATGTTGAAAAATAGTTTAAGGTATGTAGATTTTTCTGTAATAAAATACAAATGAAAACAAATTGCAAATCTTTTTTAATGTAAATACCCAAATGGTATTTACTTTCTGAATGAGCTTAGTATATCTAACAAGTTTTCATAAAATTTTATAAATCTGATACTTCAAACTTTCCACCAACAGTCAAAATTTTAATTATTATAATATTAATAATTTCACTGTAAATTACAAAGTTATACCTAAGTTAATTAAAAATAATATCAATTATGATTAGACTAATAAATGATACTTAGTAGCATAATCATAACTGAAATTTTCAATGAACTTATTCAAAACTAAGTTCTTATCTATTACTACAAACTTATAATTTTTGATGCGTTAAGTGCATTATACAGTACTGTAGTGCATTCTCTGCACTAAACTGAAAAATGTGAGCATACTTATTGAAAACCAGTTCATGTTTTCATTTTCATATTAAATTTAAGAATTATTGACATTGTGATTATTAATGAAATATTACAAATGACAAAACAACTGTCTAATTACGATTATATATATATAAAAGCCATGCTGGTGTAAAAGCTTGAGTCAGCTGAGCATCATGTAGAACTATGTGCCTGTAATCATCTCCAGTTAGTGCAATTAATGACTTGTATGGTTATATTTTCTAATTTAATTGATTTGGAAGTGAAAATCAATTGGAGATCTGGACAATGTAATTGAGAATGCATCTGCACAACAAGCAGGAATTACAGGTTCAAATTCTACTCCAACTTATTCGGTTATTCCAGAATATTCTAAATTTATTTACTGGGCTGTGATTTGAAGAAATTGTATCTATAAATTCCTACTGTTGTCTGTCCTTCCTTAATATATCTACAGTAAGACCCTACTTAATGCGAGGGATGCGTTCCTAGACAACAAAGTGCTAAATGAAACAGCATTAAATGAGGCCATTTTACCATTGAGTAAATAGGGAGAGGAACACACAACCAAAAATAAACAGATTTTACTATAATTTTAAGTTATTTTTATATTAATTTGCATAATAATATATGTTAAATAACACAAACATATGCACACAGAAATGTAAAGTTTATTTTTTTGTGATGAAGGTCTTGGCTTTTCTGAAATTCTTGCTTTTTGCGACAAAGTCATGTAGTTTCATTTGTCACTTTTCTTTTCTTTCGTTAAGGAAATGTCGGTAGTAGAAAATTGCACCCAAAATGCTCATTTTGCTTTTGCACTCCTTTCAAAATCTGGATCATTCACTACAATTTGATCAACAATTTTGGTTATCGTTACCAAACTTTTACTAAAGAAATCTGTAGAGAAATTCTTTGGGTTTTTTGTTTTCAGAATCACTATTTTCCAGTTCTACACAAATTCGTTGTTCTACCAGTTCTTGAAGGCTGTCATTGGTAAGGCTCTCACCAGAACCTGCAGTAATATATCAATATCCTACTCGTCTACATCTCTACTAGTCTTGCTGTATCAATTAGGTTGACAATTTGGTCAACTTAACGATATAGCATTAGGTTCTTCTCATTGAGAATTCTTGGATACCTTCAGCCATAACTTCTTCCACACTCTATTTATGCATTTATCAGTTAATTCCTGCCAAGCAAAGTTGATATTTCCTATGGCATCTATGATGTTATATTTTTTCCCAAAATTGCACAAAATAAACAAAGATTTAAGGAAAGTACTGTACAGCACTACGACAAACTGTCACCTTTTGCTGATTGGTTCATGTTCATAAATAATTGTATTATATATGAATCAATGAAATACTGCAATAATTTGAATCAACATAAATTTTGAGCTTTTTTTAAGGCTTTGAGTGGACAATGTTATATCAAATCAGCATTAATCAAGGCACCATTAAGCGGGGATCTTACTGTATTTTGTTTGTGCAAAATTAAAATAATAATAATTTTGGACGATACAATAGCCACAATTATTCTTTTCAAAAATGTGTAATTTTTGTTAGGCTTAACATCGACGAAAATTCAACATGGCATCACATGCAACAGAAAAAACTTTGACCATCTGATAGGTTAATCTAGAACGAAATTAGATAGATGAAAGTCAAGACCAAATACGAAAACCTTAAGCTGTGGTCACACTACGTGATTTCCAGCTGCACAGGCGACCACAACTGCAACAAGTGCGAGTCACATGCATCTTCTCATGGTCACACATTGTTTGCTGGCATTGCAACTTGGAAACATGTGACCCTATAATAAACCAATAAAATTACAGCAGTTTGTTTTTGACTACTTTTGTGAGTTTACCAATGGTTTATGTTCTACTCCAGAGTATTTACGGAATTTTAGTCACTTTTCTTATTAAAATGGCAAGCAGTTCCTTTTCTGCAATGAATAAAAAATATTTTGTAATCATTTTGATAGAGCTGGCGAGAATACACGAAAAGATAAAATCTTCAATAAAACGAGGAATTAAATCTCACAGGCATTCATGAGCCTGAATAAGCTCAATCAATCTCAATTCTGTAAAAGTATCAATCCTGTAACTTTCCTCCATGATGATGAATTATTTTCAATGTTGTCACTGTATGACATGGCACAAAGGCATTTGCAGAACAAACTTTTTGTTTCTAGCTGCGGTTGCAGTTGCACCAGTTTCAAAGGGAATTTACTAGTTAATGAGAATAGCTGTTGCAGTTGCAGTTGCAGTTGCCTGCACGGCTGGAAGTCGCAAGGTGTGACTGCTTTAGAGACAAGAGACCCCAATTAACTATATATGAACTTCTAGTCTAGAATGGAAGTCATGTTATTTCAATTTAAAAATTCCCTGAAAGCAGTTAGACAGATGACAGGCATGACTCTATTGCTAGCAGAAAAGTATAATGTACAGGAGCAAGACACTATTAATTTGAGGATGTGTGTGTATATTTGAAATTAAATAAGCTTAAAATATGATTAAAAATTGCAGCCCAACATTGTGATGATGTCACAATAATAATTGCTCATTTACGAGGTCTGTTCAAAAAGTATCGTACTTTTATTTTTTCCATGTAAACCAATGATGCGCGGGAGGCCTCTTTCGGTGGAGTTGTGGAGAGGACAGTCATTCACAGCTCTGAATTTTATCCTGCCTGCAGGAAGCGTCAGTCGTTGGCAGTCGGCCTATAAGTGAGGACACGTAGCAAGCTCTCGTCGGATTCCACTAAGTTGAAAAATGACCGAACGACGTGAGCAGCGATATTGCATCAAATTTTGCCAAAAACCTTGGCGATACCCAAGCGTAAACCATTCGCAAGATTCAGCAGGCTTTCGGGGACATTCCTCGAGGCCAAAAAAAGCGCGGCAGATTTGCAGCAATATCAAGGTCATGTTGACAGTTTTTTTGACTCTCGTGGGGTGGTGTATCGTGAGTACGCACCACAAGGCCAAACCATCGCAAAAGAGTACTACCAGGAGGTCCTTTGTCGTCTTTCCGATGCTGTGCAATGCAAACGACCGGATCTGTGGTTGATCAAAACTTGCCAGCTCCATCGTGATAATGCATCCGCCCATTCTACGCATCTGATTTGGGCTTTTGCTGCAAACATAACACTCCTGTGATTCGTCATGCTCCGTACTCTCCCCACATGGCTCCGTGTGACTTTTGGCTATTTCCCAAGCTAAAAATGCCGCTAAAAGGAACCCGATTTTAGTCGAGAAAAGACATCATGCGGAATGCAACGGATCGGCTGATGGCCATTCCAAAAGATGCGTTCCAGCAGTGTTTCCAGTAATGGCAGGAACGCTGGGAGAAGTGTATATACTACCAAGGAGACTACTTTGAAGGGGATTAGGGTTTTGTATCTCAAAATCAATAAATGTATTTTTGCCGACCAAAGGTCCAATACTTTTTTGAACAGCCCTCGTATAATTATTAAATTTAATTCAGAATGGTAGCTTAACTGTCTACCTTTAGTCCAAATTACGTAATACTATTATAATTAATTAGCCAAATTATAGCTCATTTAAAGTCTAGCATCATTGTTTGTCTAAAGCA